AACTAAAAAATGGATTGTTTGTCATTTTTCATTTGTGTATGCTTGTGAGGAAGCGAGCGAGAGAAGGACAGAGAGAGAAAAAAATCACCCAAGTGAGTGAGGTAGGCAATGTTTCATGATGAGATCCACAGCTGTTCGACTTCAGATGCTTTTATTTCCATTTAATTTTGCCCTGAAATAACGTTCGGTTTCACCTTTGAAGTTATAGAGCACGATGAGGTCCACAGCTGTTCACACCTGGGAGGTTTTAGTATTGAGTGGTTTTACTCTTTCAAATGTCGACTGCGGACTGTATGAACAAATGAAAAGCCTTGAGAAGCAAGTGTCCATGATAGGAAAGGAGGGGAGGCATAAAAACACAAAATGAATGCCTGTTAAAGGCAATAGAGGCGACGAGTCTTTTGTAAATGATGAAAATTTTCTCTCTGATAACCCCACCGAGAAGTTAGCACATTTTGATGAAATGCATAACATATGGAGATAACTATAGCTCAATTTAAGTACAGGAACTGTGGCACAAATCTAAGGACTTTTAACTGAAAAGAAAGGAAATATCATTGACGACGCAGAATGTAATAACTAGTGCAATTTACATATAAGCAATTGCAGCGACGGAAATTTTGAATAAAACATATTTTGCAAATAATTCCACCGAGAAGATATCTTTTTTCTGCTGAACACGGTTAACAGGTGGTATGAAGTGCTGTTATACCGGAAAAGCTACTGAATCAATTCAAGTTCGTTGGCTTTCATTGATTGGCCTTCTCGGAACGTTCCTAGCTAAATGACTTCAGATACTTTTTAATTTTTATTTGTTTTGCACTGAGATAACGTTTGTTTTTCACCTCTGACGATATACAGTGCAACGAGGTCCACAGCTGTTCACACCTGAGTGGTTTTAGTATTGAGTAGACTTTACTATTTCAAATGTCGACTGCGGACTTGCCCCGGATACTGTTTGAACATATGAACAGTCTTGAGAAGCAAGGGAGCAATAAAAGAAAGGAGGGGCATGAAAAGACAAAATGTGTGCTTGTTAAAAGCAATAGAGGCTTTTGTAAAAAAAAAATAAAAATGTTCTATCTCATAATCCCACCGAGAAGATTGCACATTTTGATGAAATGCAGAACATACGGCGTTAGCTATAGCTCAATTTTAGTACAAGATCTATGGCACCAATCTACGAACTTTTAACTGAAGAGAAAGGAAATGTTATTGACGACGCAGACGTTCTTCTAATGACCAGCAATATGTTCGTTTTAAATCGATCATTTAATGTAAACTTTCTAAAGTATACCGTATTTTTATGCAAAAGGTAATTTGCTAGGACCCACGAGAGCCCTGATTCGACATCCGGGTCCCGATTCAGGGGCTCGGTCGTTGTCGTGATGGAGTGACGTGCCTCATCCAGGATTCGAACTCGTGACTTTGCGTTGCCATGGTTGATGGCGCTTTGGGTACTTGATTTGCATCCAAGCACGCTACCGACTGCGCCGTGACAGACCCGCCCACCCTCCGTACTTACGAGTTTCCTCTTATAGTAACCAAAAGGAAATTTTTAAAATTTAATTCTGGAAAAAAAATTCGGTTCTATATTTGCTAGGTCTCGAACTAGCGTACCAGTGTCTGACATTTTGCGAGACTGTAAAGTTACCACGGAGCCACGGCAGCTACGTTGATATGTGCTGATCGGATGGAAACTTTCAACCTTGCCACGGAGAGGGCCAGGTTGGATGTACATGTGTGTATCTCCTATCCCAATCGATAATCCAGGTGCCGCATTTCATCCCACGCAACCCCAGTCCCCGACCATGGTTTATCATGAACGGTAAAATTCATGATGTACAGAAAGCCATGCGTGTTTGAGAATCCGACACAGAGCTCGGAGTTTGTTTTATACTAAGATTATTTTTGGCTTTACCCATGATATTAAAGAGTACAATGGGATCAAAGGCGGTTCACAACAGGCGTGTTTTAGTTTTTGCGAGACCCTAAGAAGAGAGGGAAAAAACATTTAGCTATAGACATATCCGTGAACATCTGTGGAAAATCAATCTGTCTCCCTGGGAGAGGGCGCCCCAGTGGCACGTTAGGGGCAGCCTGCTGTTTACCAAGCCTAGCCTACAGTAGTGAACCTTTACCCTTTGATATCTGGGGCTTCTAAAATAGTATGCAAAATTAAATATGTACGATACAATAATTTTGCAACAGCCTGCTGTGAACAGAGAGTAGTAGAACCTTATCATTGCGTCCTGTTGACCGCGCTTGGTCACTGAGATGTGTAATGTCTCCACCATTTGGTGAGTGCTATTTCCATGGGTAAATATTGGCAGGAGGCGCCGAGCCATAAGCAAAAAGAAAGCAGAAGGTGATGTCTCGCCTTAAGAGGTATGCATGAGTAGCGTATGTCACATCGCTTACACGCATAGTTTTGAGCGTACGAAATCACTGCGTACGAAATCCCAGCCTACTAAAATGAAGACGAAAGTAGTTTTTTCATGTGAAGTTTTTAAAACGTGCCCAAAACATGTTATCTCCCTCTGGATATGCGGGCGTACTAACGAACCTCTTGGATTTCTCTGTATAATGGCATTTTTTTCTCCTACATTAGTGGTATACGCTAGGTGTAACAGTGCCTTTAACGAAGGAAGCATATATAGTTGGATTGAACATTTATCCCACCTCCAAAAACTCCACGCCCCCCCCTCCCCTCCCACACACACGGGCCGTTCAAATCCGCAGTTGGTCTGTTTGCAATATGTATCTTTATACGTCGTATAAGAGTAAGTGTGTCTTTATGCTGTCTGTTTTCTTTTTCTATTTTCTATTTTCTCTTTCTTTCGTTCTTTTTTTTTTGTCTCTTTCCTTCTTTCTATGCCCCTTTTTTATGTGTTTATTTCAAGCACACTGTCATTCCATGCTTTCATTCCATGGATTATATGAAAATTTACGGTACGCCTAGAATTATTAAAAAAATTATTAAAATAGTTACAGAAAGTAAGACAGAAAGTTTTGTTACAGATAGAAAAGACTCTACAAAATATAAAATATGGCGTAATCGTATGACACCAAACAGCGTAATCGTCTAGACTTTTGGAAAAAGAGCTCAATATTGCCTCTTGATTTTGCGATAACTTTGATGGTACGCCTGATTTCACTGCTGTATCAACAGCTCACAATGGCCTTGTTTTGGTTGGGTGGCGATTAGCGAGTTCGGGTGGGAAGAAGGTCGGGACATTCCGTGACCTCGAACACGACCGATTGAATCCGGAGACTAACGGAGTTGACAGGGTGCATGAGAAAACCAGTGCAAGGTGCTTTCTTCATTTGTCGTAGCTTCCATTTGCACCGCCAGAAATTAAGCCGCGGGGAAGTGTGTGCTAGAAAGCCGAAGTGCGGGTGGAATGCTGCTATGGAAAGGTGTTCTACCGCTAGGCTGGTGCTTGTCCAATTATTCTGACGTCGTGAAAGGCCTATGACCATTTATGTCTCAATTGAACGCGATCTATACGTCGGGCCATGAGTACATTTCATGAGTTTTTTACCGACTTAAATGTACTCAAGTCAGGCATGCGAGCATAAATGATCAAGAAAAAACTAAAGATCACAAAAAAATTTGTAAAATGTATGTTTTTAGAGAGATAAAACTTTATTGTAAAATTGTAAAAACGCAAGAGCACTAGGGGCATTTTTTCCTTGTTCTTTCTTTTTGTTGTTATTCTCGTCTTTACACATGAAATGGTGCGTACCTCAAAATGTACTATAATTAGCAGTTTTTAATATTTGCATTGCGGATTGCGTTTACCACCTTTCATACAAACTTTTCATTTCTACCCAGCTTAAATTTGACATTGAGGTTTGAATAATGGCCCGTCAAAGCGACTGTCGGAAGTATGGATGAAAGCGTGTGTTCGTCTTCATTTTCACCTCTCGACTTTATTAATAATACTGACCTTAGATTATTTTTCTGCATATAATTGTTGTTCCTCCCACAAAGGTCGCATTGTCCTCAAGTCTCGACCATACAAACAATGCCTGTTGACACAGCACGACTTTTGCGTCCTCTCACCGATGAGAAAGAAAATGCGTCCAACATTCCCAACTATAGCAATGGGGCCAGTACACAGTCATTCGATGCTTTGTCAACAGTCCATTGTCATACGAGTACATAAAGTCGTTAAATATAGCACGAGATTTTCTGTCACCAGCGAGTAACAAAGAGTCACAGGGTCGAGATATGGTAAAGTGATATATTCTTTGTAAATTCCCATCTGAGTCAGGTTTTTTTTCGTAAAACTATTAGAATTGGTCCAGTGGAATGGTTTCATCGCAGGAAAGTTACTGGTCGAAGGTAGGCGAGAACTGCATTTTTGAGTAATTGTTTTAAGACTGTATTTCTTAGAGTTGTAATGTCATGTGTACATTGTTGGTATCATGTTGAGTGGTGAGGTAGGTTATATGGAATGGAAATACAGATATAATACAACGATGAACTGTCACAAACAGAAATGAGATCAAGTATAGACATGGACTACGTGCGTGATAGGTATAGGCCTATTGTAGATTCAAGATATGAAGAAGGAAGAAAGTAAAAATGAGTTTTGATGTTTCACGTCTCCATATTCTGAGTAAAATGTCTGGTTATATATTTTCGTGGGTCATAATGCTTTTCTGGTCTCGAAAAAGTCAAAATCATTCCAACACATTTTTATGTTAATATACTCTTTCTCTCTCTCTGTTTGTGTGTGTGTGTGTGTGTGTGTGTGTGTGTGAGTGCACAGTAATACCCCCCATCACCAACAAAATAGGTCCACTTTTCGTTCTCCGTAATGCCCCGCACGCTTCAGTTAGCATATAGGTATACATTGATTACCTGTGATAGCACTCCGCGGATGTGTCAACCGCAATGATCCCCTGCCTTTTCATGTAACACTGCCCCTAACAAACGCAACACAGCAAATCTATTGATCCGGCGGATAAACGCACCGATTGGCAAGTTCATGTTAATGCGACATGCTGTATAGAAAACGACGCTAAGCAGCAGTTGCAGCTGTCAGCACTGCGAGAGCATCAACGCCAAGGACGACATCGACGACTTCCACGCAAGGAATACGAAAACAGCAGATGGATTTATGAGAAGAAGTCGAAGTAAATGAAGGTTTATCACCAAGAGGTTTCAAGATCCGACAAGGTGGGGAATGGAAGCTTTCCGAGGTCATGTTTTTTACCGAAGTGACTAACAGATGGGTAGCACATAGCGTTGACAGGTAAGACTGTGACAATGCTGGCTATGTTTAAACGGGGGCAAATTCTAGGCGACATGCGTCGTCCGTTGAACGTGTGGTTTAGCTCCCAAAATGCGACATTTTAATTTGGTAGAAAGCGTTGTTTGGCTGTGAGAATTTTGGCTTAATTTTTAGTAGTGCTGGTGTTCTACGTTGTGTGTATTTGCGTTCTCAGCTGTCAGTAATTATATCATGGTTTTCTGCACAACAGGCTTTTGAGATCGTTTTCATTGGTGCTCTCTCTCTCTCTCTCTCTCTCTCTCTCTCTCTCTCTCTCCAGATTGACATGGCATGTACAGTGTGATAATTTTTACGGGCATATCAACATAATCCAAAGCATTTGACAGTGTATATTTCTGCGGTCATTTTATATTCAGAATGCCTCAAATGTTTCTGCATCGTAACCTACTTTTGATTCAATAAACGTAAAACTAAGATGGTTAAAATGCCACTCACAAGCAATATATACTAAAAAGTATTATGAGAAAATACTGTTTAAATGTTCAGTACTTCATATTGCTATCGGTGGTTAAGGAAAATACGCTATTTAACAGCAGAATATATTGCCAAATAAAAATATGCAAGTATGTTTAACCATAAAAACATGTAGTAGTCTAACGAGAAATGAGTTGTTTTATGCTTCATTAGTCTTCATATATCACCATGTGCTATTAATCATATTTAATCATGATATAACAGCATACAGTAGTATCTATGTTGAAATATTATATAGTGCAATATGCCAGTACATATAGAGTGAAACTTTAACTCAGGGTTACTGGAAACTGCATGGAAATACTGATATTAGAGAGGTGTTTTCCTGGCTACCTCTTAAACACAGGGTGCTACTGTAAACTACATAGGAATACTGATATTAGAGATGTGGGTTTCCAGTGTTTTCTGAAACACAGGTCACCTCTGTTTCACCTTTTTACCACAAATGCCAGCTTGAAGGCAAAACACAATATTCAACATTAGCGTGTTATAACATAATGTAATATCATAGGCATAGAAGGTCGAGACAAGGGTAAAAACCACACCGTAATTCGATAATTTCCTTTCATATTCCACACCACGTTGTATTAAGCTGTATGAAGACCGTTGAACCTTTTTGTTGGAACCAGACTTGTGCACACATATTTCTGAACAACGAGGGTAATTTGAGGGTGCCTTGTTCCTGTAGGTTTGAGAAAAGGTTTCAAGGGGGTGGCTTGCTCCGGGCAGTGTAATGATATGTGACACTTTCATAAACAATTTAAGAAAAAATGCGCAGGTGTTGTGGGGTATTCTGAATGTTTGACAATAGTAATGTATGCTAACAACACCACCCTCGGGATACGGTCCTGCTTGTGATTTTTTTAAAAAAGTTTCTTCATTAATTAATGAAATGATGTAAATAAAGTTACGTGTATTTTATGTAAATGAATTCAAGTTTTCGAATTATTCAACATCGTTTGAGTAAAATCTGTCAAAAATAGTAGGTATTGCTGAGGGGGGGGAGGGAGGTCTCAAACACTTTTATAGAAATAAAAGATTCACCCGTAAAGAATTTTAAGCCAACAAGTTGGCGATGAAAAGGAGCAAAATCTCAAGCAGACTGCAAAAAAAAGTTTAGTGCCGTTAAGGAAGGAACACATAACTTGGGATTTCAAACATAGTCTTCAGAAGTGGATTTATTTTGCCTCAGTTATATGTAGCTCTCGTCTGTGACACTTCCTCGTCAATCTGGCGCACGTCATAAAATGTGAAAAGTTTTTTAATAACTCAACATGTCTCCTCGTTCACTCACTGAAAATTAACAGTAAAGGACAGACACAAGTCTGATGTTCGAAATTTGACCGGTGATTGCCATATTTATTATAAGGTCCTTCTTATAAAAGAAATGATGTAATTGCGTGGATAACAATGAATGACGTTGAATAATAGCATTTACGAAATATTTAGGCATGGAAAATTGCATTAATATTTAATTTGCAAACAAACAGTGCAGATGTTTCAGTTTTTTTGGGTTGCAGAGAGAGAGAGGCAAGTTTTGATGGTGGTTTAATATATAGATGAACTCTGGTATGGTCGACGATGCCGAATGTCCTTCAAAACAAGAGCATTTTTTTAAATTGCTTGCGAAAGTTATCAAAGCAACTGGCCCGGGTTCCTCCGTAGACACACACACAGGACACTTAACCCTCTCATATACGCCACTGTATGAAATATCACTCTCCAATATCGATGTTCGCCAACACTGTATGGGGGATATAGGAAACTAATTACACGAATCGTTATTCAATAATATCTATTACCGCTCCTTTTGTCCAAGTGCAGAAAGGAATGTGCGTAATTTTGGGGCTTTTCGGGGCTGGCTCACTGCGACGAGTGGCGTTGGAGTTTTTGAGGTCGGCCGTGGAAATGAGTATTGTAGGTGGCAAAGAGATCCCAATTCAACATTTTAGAGACATTTTTGTGGCATTTCCACTGTTTTTTTTTTAATTGTCGAAGTAGGCGATAGGGCCACAAACATCAACCGGTTCGTTTCTGTTGGAAAGGTCGCAATATTTCGTGTAAGAGGACGAGTATTGATCTGTTTTGGGTCGAAGTAGGCTAAATATTTTGGTTTTAAAGTTAAGACACATGTTCGATCTTAAGTTCTTTTGTGAATACGTAGGCCCTAGAGTGCACCTTGTGACACAATACAATAACCAAACGCGTTGTATCACGTAATATGAAAACACATTACACACGTGTGTTTGAGTTTTCTTTCACGGCGCATAAAGGGGGAAGGGTTTGGAAAACGATGAATACAACGTCACAACTGACTGAGCCCCCCCCCCCCCCCCCCCTTTTTTTAGCTAAAGATCTTCTTACCGCCCAGGACTTGCAGTGGCGGATCCAGAGATATTTTCTGACAGTCTTCCAAATTATCTTTGTTGCGCCACCCCCCCATTTTTGACCGTCTTCCGACAGAAAAAATTAGATACCCGTCAATGTAAACTTAAAAATCTGACCGTCTTCCGGAAGACCCAGAAGACGGCCTAAATCCGCCCCTGACTAGAGCCTCTGTGACCATTGAAGCAAATTACAGATGAAGTAATAAAAGCTTTGGCTATCTGTGAAATCAACGCGCTCAGGTCCCGGTTATATTGAGATTAATTATGAAATATTTTGTGTATTATGCGGTGAAATAATTAAAAACGTATTAAGTTTCTATAGAGACGGGTTATTTTTTATCATTTTATTTGTTGTACATCAGAAAAAATTTAAAACTCGATATATATACGTGTTAAGCACGTTAAAGCAACCGCGTGAAAATCAGCCCGTTGGACTTTCCATAAAAGCAGCTTTTATTTTTGACCAAAATTGGCTTCCGTAATTTCAAGTCGCTTTTGTTTCTGTTGCAAAACATCAGTATACAAAATTGAGTGAAGTCTGATCCTGAAATATATCCATCGGTGTCCAGGGACATCTTCAGTGCAATATAGTCATCTCCCCGCCTGGCAAACTGTATTTTGTTCAGAGAAGAAAAGGGACGAGTATACAGTTTCGCTCCAGGCTTCATCTTTTGCAGCGTCCCTCTCTTTTCTTTTACAAATACTTTGAAATTATCGGCTGACTTGTTATATAAAATCTAAAGTGATTTATCTTCATTATAATCTTTATCTGAATCTAGAGTTGACAGATGGCGGTTAAAGACTTTTCATGAATCTACATGTATATGTCAGCACAAACATCCCTTTTTTGAGGTGGGAGCGAGAGAGGGGGGGGGGACACTGCGACACGTCGGCATGTAGTGTGAGTTAACGGAAGTCCTTTGGAGTGTATTTTGATTATAGCAAGTGTTTGGAGACCGATAGTAAATATTTTAATATCAAATAAATAAATAAATAATCTGTAATAATGTGTTAAAATAGATACAGAAGAGCAACACATTGTCCTATTGTCAATTCTTCTTGTAAAAGAAAACGTGTTATCTTTGTTATTTCTCTTTATTTTCAATAAGGTGAATTGAATTAGTGAATTGAACTGAATATTTAAGTATTCTTTTCTTTCCCTTTTGGTCAGAGATAGTAGACGAGCTAAAGGTTTTTTCATTCTTCACTGCATTTTATTACGTGTAGTACGGTATCGTGTATCGTGTTATTTTGTGTAACTAATCTTCACAGTAATACCGTACCGAAAGTCTTGCAACATTAATCTGAATTTTGATCCCAAAATTTTTGTTGGGAAAATTATTAGACGGCGGTTGAAAGTTATTTGCTTGCGGTACCAACTGAAATATCTTGCAGCCCATGTCATTCCTTAATGTTACGAAATTTAGAAAGCTTTCATGCACCGCATGTGGGACTGCTAAGTTTCACACAGTGACCTTTTACAATGAACATTTGACTTGAACATTTCTGGTGAGAAAATTCAGAGATCGCTTAAAACATTTCTCCCCGGGTCGCTCTCTATTATGCTACAGAACTCTGCCAGGTATCGCATGTCGCGTTAATCGTTGGTAGCTTTTTTCTACGGCTCAACTTTTGTTTCATGTATGTTCTGCTATAGAATATCATTTGTCGGGGTGAGAAGAATTTTTTATGAAGTGGACCCCTATGAGCACTACCCTTATATGCCTGGTCCCAGTTTTCACAAAACAAGTTCCCCGGCTTTGTTGACTAGGATTTCCAAGAGAGTGCTGTAACACTGTTCCTGATAGGGTAAAATGTGCCCATGTGACCATGTAACGTTGGTAATAATTATTAAGTTCTTTGCAAGGGAATCTGACTTATTTATTATTATTTTTATTTATTTATTTATTTTTCTTGTGGAACTGGGGCCTGACTTAGTTTTTGTGTAAAACCGAGACTTGGATCAAAGAGAGAAAAATTATCCACCAATTCTGACAGATTTTGATTTTTAAACTTTTTTTTGAAAAAAAAAAAATTGAAATTATCACGTTAGCAACCAGTTGTGTACCCTGATTTTGCTCGTCTACAGGAAACCTAAAACATCTCCCGTCTCCATGCCTCTGAAGATGTAAAATCAACGCCATTGTCTTGTTTAATTTCTCCAATATCTGCCTTCATCTGTTTTTCTATCCTGAATTTCTGAGATTACTGGCATCTCATATCTAATTCCTCGCTGTAACTGGGCAAAGTCTGAAACGCAGGGTGCAGAGCGGGGTCTACTTCATAAAACTTCTGACGTGACTCGTCATAATGAGCTTCATTTTGCAAGGAAAATGAAAAGAAAGTGAGTGAAATTTGAGATCGTGAAGAAAACGGGGACACCTTAGTAGCAAGGCATTATGTTAAGTTTCTAGAACAGATTTGTCATAGCACTGGAGAGGAGAAACGTACTGATATACGCCAGATATAGGTGAACTGAAGACAGGGGGTGAGTCAGGGTAAATATGTATTCTTTTTTCAATAAGAATGACCACAGACAACAACACATTGCAACTGTCTACTAGAGGTATGTTGGTGATGCCGTCTTTCTTCTTCTTCCTTTCTGTGCAAAGTCTTAGTCCAGTACAAAAATGTGCACATAATTAGCCAGAGAAATATTTGTGATCATATATGTGTATTGGCTCGTTACTATATTGTATAACTAGTGATCTAGAGAATGATTCGAGAATTTTTCGATAAGAAACTTCTTTTGTATTTGAACGGGTTTGCAAAGCCCAATTTATGCAGTATTCTGCAGTACAAAAATGGTATTTTAAAAAGCGAAATTGTCTCCGCTTTTATGACATCATCAGCTAGCCCAGCTCGTATTTCGGACACTAGTAACTCATCGGGTGGCCTTTTGCTGGGCTGACGACTGGCAAAACTAGTGCAGTGTTTTATCTGTTTATCGTCGAAGTCTAAATTTAACCAAGGTTTAAAATAGGCAGGGTGCACTATCTAGGGCATATATTTCACTTGTTTATTATGATTTTTTTTTTTGCTAAAGACATACACACAGTCCTTGCAAATTCTTTTGCAATAGCCAAACTCCAATACCAATAGACGTTAACATGCCTGCCATTGTTTGTTTATATGCACGACTTTTGCACTTACCTTTTTTTCGATAAAAAACCCAGGCCACCTAAGATGTAAGATGAAAGTGTAAAGTTACTCGTGCACCGCGCGACGCGCCATGAATCTTAACTTCTCTGCAACGCTCAGAAAAGGTGTAACCTCCCATAAAACTGTCGTAAAAAGACGGCGTGTCGTATGACAACGCACCGGTATCTGAAGTCACCCAGTCAGAAACCCGACGGGGACATGTTTGTATATACCCGCTGTCATATCGGGTGTCGTTCTTTCAAGTTTGACAACCGTACCGGAAGAAAAACGCATGGAGCGCTAAATAAACTATTAATTTTTTGGGGTATTTTGCAAAATACACTTGATCATCTTTGTGGTGATCTTTATTGTGAGCAAATACTGGAACACCACAGAAATGTATCACAATGTACAAGATACAGGGCTGGAGCCAGGAAGTTTAAAGGGGATCTTTTGCTGAAAAAAGTGAACGTTTGTGCCTCTTAGCTATAGCTGACTCGACTTGAGAATTTGCAGGGATCCTTTATTATGATTTAGAGCAGATCTTCCCGGCTAAAGAAAAAAAGTTGGGAAA